CTATAAATATCTATTGGAGTAAAGCAGGACAAATGAAGAATGATAAAGAGTCCAATGCAAATGGACTGCAAACAACTCCAACTGATGGCATCAACAAGCCAACAACAAAATTACAATTTAAGAGAAGGGTGAAACAAAGAATATAAACCTAAGGGCTCAAAGGGAGGATAAGAAAATGCATGTAAAACTGTAAAATCCCAATTTGGTAATTGAAAAGATCATTTGGGCTGAAGAATACAAAAGAATTTGAATAGACTTGATAGTACTGGGAATTCAAAACCTGTTTTTTGGAATACTGAAAAATAGTGGAGAAGGATGTCTTATATAAATTCACCGTAGACGAAACAAACATCTGGGTGGAGAATGTCTGATCAAGGTTGTTGCAACAGAGGTAGAGGTGGAGGTGGACATTCCTGTGGAACCCATGTTTGAGCTGGTACATATGATGCAAGCTAGAGAACTCGACAGAGAGTGGAAAAACCATAATCAGAACCCAGGGGCAAAAGCCGAATCGGGAGAAAGGTATAGAGATGTAAACCTGTCCAATACTGACTGAATGCATCTACTGCCAATGCTTGAGGATGAGGTATCAGTGACTAATACAACTGCAGTTGAGAATTCCAATAAGATGCAAAAGCATTGATCGTTGGAGACCCAAACTGAGAGCAAATCCACCAAAAAAACCTTGTGATGTAGCATCCATTCCATCACAAGTGATCTGCAAGTAAATGCATCACACATGGAACATGACAAGGTAAAAGACAGATATGAAAGAAATGAGCCCAGTAGAGAAGATCCAAGGTACAAAAACAAAGGTCTCAAGAATGTGTGCCTCATTGACAATAAATCTGAAATACCATCGTGAAATTGATAGAAAGTATCATGACAATTTTTCCCTTTAAGAGAGACAGACCTTGATCCATTGGCCGGTGTACTGCAAGGAGTTCGAGAATGTTGATATGGAGGGTAGACTCATCTTCTGTCCAAATACCCTGGAACTCCTGACCTTGAAGATAAGCTCCCCATCCCTGAAGAGTTGCGTCTGTGAACAGATGGATCTTGGAACGTGGTGGTGGAATGGGTATCCCAATAGTAGTGTTGTTCTGATTCAACCACTGTTTGCAATCTACGATGTTGCTCATGAGTCATGAGACAGGATGATCCAAAGGACTGAAATGAAATGATTCATTGGTTGCGCAGTGACCACTGAAGAGACTCATATGAAGTCCTCCCAAAGGAAATATGCTCAAGGGATGCTCACATCCCCATAAGAAAAAAAAACATCCTCACAGTAGAAGTAGACATAAGCAAAAGCCTGATGGCTCTTTCCATGGCTTGAAGCTCGATAAGGGTTGGTTGAGCACAACTTAAGTGAGTATTGAAAAATACACCCAGATGGATGAGATACTGCATCAGTGACAGAATAGATTTTTCCAGTCTGATAAGGAAGATGACTTCTGTGGCTTCTGAAAGGAGAATCTGAGAGTTTTGTTCTGCTAATTGACTGGATGGTGCCAGAAGGAGCCAGTCATCCATACAATGATTTGTGCAAAGGCCCAAAGAATGCAGGTCACAAGAAAAAGATCGAACAACTCTGCAGAAGACATAAGGTGCTGATGCAAAACCAAAAGGTAGAGCCCTGAACTGCAGCACCTGACCCTTGTGGAAAAAATCTGAAAAACCTCCGTGAAAATTCAGATAAGCATCAGTATTGAGCTTAGACATCCAGAGCCCTAGCGCAACGAGCCATCTTAGGTTTGAGAAAATATTCCATTGTAAAATGAGGAGGATCTAAAAATTTGGTTGAGTCGAGACAGATTGATGATTGGACACCAAGCTCCTGATTTCTTGGATACAATGAATAAATGGGAATAAAATTCCAGAAGAATGGGATCAACCCTTTCTATTGCCCTTTTGACTAACAACACTTATGGTCTGGGAGCTAGCCGTGGATCAGTTGGAGGTGAAAAGGTAACAGATTGTGCAGATAATGGTGGAGGTGATGTAAATTGAATGATCAAACCTGAAGCAAGAACGTGAAGTACCCATGGATCTCTGGTGAAAGTACTCCAGATATCGAGAAAGTAAGATAATAGAGCTCCCACTGCTCCCCTGCCCACAGGATAGTCACTGATGCCATTGTTGTCAGTCCGCCCGAGCTGAAGATCCTTCAGAATATGAGCAGACTATTATGGAAACCAATAGACCTGGGAACCGAAGGAAGGGGGGGGGGTCAGGAAACACCATGGGCCAACACTCCCAATTAGTGCTAGAAGGGCAAGAAGCCAACAACAATAAAGAAGAATGTAAACAGGCTGTAAAAATTTGTGATCCTAACGTCTCAGGAACTTCAGCAAACAACATGGGGCGGAGAAAAATGTGCTTCCAGTAGCTCCTGAGGACAGAAGATGGTAAACGAACACTTTATAACAAAGTGTTTCTACCCAAAAATTCTAACAACAAACCAGCCAGGAAAACAAGGAAGGAACTGAAGAAGACAATCCGAATGAGGAAGACATCAGCAAAATCCACAATTTGTCCACAAATTGCTGAGGGGAACATTGATAGGCATTAGACAAAAGTTAGATCAAAAATAAATACTTCAAGAAAGTCGTGAGAGTAAGAAGAATCCAAGAAAACTGAACTGTTTAAAGTGATCACAGGTTCCAATCTAAATCTCCATAGGTCCAAAAGGGGGTCCATCTGTTAAGAATCTAAATAACCTCCTCCTAGAGGTTATAAGCCAAAGTATGTTTTTCCGATAAACTTGGGGTACAAGGCATAGCTATCCCATTACCAAACTGAGCAGCAAATCTTCCAGCATGATCAGCAATATCTGGAGAAGTGAAAAAAACTAATAAACACTTGCTATCCTTTCTGCCAACTAAGAAGGAGTAGAGTCAAAAGCAACAGAAGAGACCCTCAAAACTTCACAAACCTGAGTAAACAAATAAAGAGAAGGGGCTGGAGGTGGTTTATCAAAATTATCCTCTGTTGAGGCCGACCTAATAGAAAAAGCCGGAAAATCGAGTCTATTTTTCCCCTAACTGGTCAAGGATCATTTGCAAAATGAGTGCTATAAGTAGTACCAAAACCTGACTTTTTATTGGTTGATGAACAAGTGTTGAAAAGGGAAATAGGATTTTATAAGCATGTGCTCAAATAACATCATTTTATACCTATGCTGCTAAATTCCAAATACCCCAAAAAGATTACCAATATTCAAAGAATTGCAATGTTTATTGTATCAGCACTGAACTATACAATAAATGTTTTGACAGGTTCAAAATGCAGTGTTGTTACTCTCGAAAAGTCTTGTTGTGAACACCGTAGGATACATACATAAGCCAATAAACTACACATCCTGTTCTCGGCATAAACATTTTCACTGATTCTAAGTACAGTGTGAGTACTCTGAATTTTCCAAGAAAACATTATAGGATATGTAATCCAATACATTAGACATTCTGTTCTTAGAGCAGGGGTCATGTTGGCCATCTTTTCACGCGTGCTTTGTTGCTTTCAAGGGTATCGTCATGGTGGTTTTATGTAAACAGTCTACTGTCACAAGTGATGATTATTGCTTTATTTTCAGCAGAGTTCTACTTTAGTCATTGACAGTAAAATAAACACAGAAAATAAATGTGTAATGTTTAGCACTTCACACTCTTAAGAGAAGTACTTTGAAACTTTGTGACCAATAATAATGAAAAAAGGCACAGCTGTTCATTTTATTTCTAATTTTAGAACTTGTCTTTTCATTATACTTTGAGGATTTTTCTACAGGCTGAAGAATCAAGTATATCATTAAATAACTGATAAGATATAAAATTTTACTGAAAACAATTGCTAGAGATTACACAAATTAAATTTGATATTTTTGGGAGGAAGAATAGTAATTTTAATCATAACATGAAAGTCACTTCGCACTTGGACAAGTAATGAAACAGACGATATATTCACAAACAAATCTTTAGTAAAACTACTTCATTAAAAATTCAGATTTTTTGTGTACAAAAAGACTTGTAATGTTTACTAAAAGCCTACCAAATTCTGTGAAAATACACTTACTGTATTAAAATGTATAGTATAAATACTTAATGTGTGCAAATGCGTATACCAACTCGGGTATTTTATACCAAGTCCATTACGATAGGGTTAATTTCTGTTGCACATTAACTTTACACTTTATTTTACGGATTTTTTTGTTTTCTTAGAATTACCATGTGTTATGTTACCTTCTGGTCAAAAACAATAACTTTTTAATGAAAGTGTGCAATAAGGAGAATTTAAAAGATTGTTCCATACCTTTGAAAATGAAAATAATCTATCTTTGTTAAGAAATGGAGGTAGGGTTATCATGCTTAGATTCACCAGACCATAAACAAAATAATAATGGTGTGCAATCATGCAAAAAGCATTAATGAGCTCATACACTCAAGTGAGTTAGATTCAAACAAATGTATTAACAGATTAAACCAACCATATGACTGATTATTTTACAGAATATAATAGCATCATGCCTAAAATATGAAGGAAATAAAGAAAGAAAAAGTATCAAGTTTATTTTATCACATGGGAACAGGAAAAGTATAAGTTTATGTTTCTTTGTCAACAAATATTGCAAAATGTTTCTAAGGTAACATAAAACAAACAGCTTCATGTAACATTAGGGATGTCACTGTGAAAGTGTATACACATTGCAAAAAAAATGGTGGCAATCTTTGTCAACTGAGGTGTAACCTAGAACGTACAATGTAAAGTAACCATTTTAGTGAACATAAATTACATCCAATGATTTGACATGCATATTCACACCATTAGAAATATGTATAGAAAATTTGAGATGAATGAATTTGCATGTAGTTTAATATTATAATATAGATATATTCTACCTTTAACCTACCTCACAATGTGTCCATAACAGTCTCTTATGATTGGCTAATTATATATATATATATATATATATATTATGATTCTTAATCACAACTTAGTCTCACCTTGGATTTAGCATGTGTCTGTGACCGAGGAGTTCTGATGGGAGTGGCTATATTATCAAAAAGACTTTGGACAGGTGGTCCTCCAGCTTTATCAGTTGGCTGATTGCTTAACAGGTTCCTGGTTTTCAGAAAAAACAGAAAAAAGTATTTCATTAAAACAACACACTTGTAATTTAGTGACATTTCAGGATCAAAAGAGCGATATCAGTGCATGACAGCTTGACAAATTCCCTAAAGTATTTCCTACATATAAGTTACGCAAAAATAAAGTGTTTGATATTTAACCTACTATACTTAATTACAAAATTTAAATTCACTATATTATCCCAGGGAAGAATACATAATGTATAAGTGTATATATTTATTAAAATGATCCAAGATATGGAAATACTTACACTTTCATTTGTTTATAGGTGTGTTGATAAAATTGTGTTTGTAACATATTAACATAATATAATATAATGAATTTACCTTTTTTAGCATATATATATATATATGTATAGCAAAAAACTCACCTTTCTGAAATATCTCCTCGATTGCTCATAGATACATTACTCCTGCTAAAACCAGTTGAACCAGCAGCAACAGGAGAATTAGACAGCTGAACAGCTGGCGTGGAAGGTGACAGAGATGAACCAGAATATGTTTTTGTAGGGGTTCCCACTGCTGACCAGAGTCGAGGTGTAGACTGGAATTGACAAAAGTTGAGATATGATAAATTAAATGGTATGAATACCAATATATTTTAACATAGCAATTACAATGGTTAAAGGGTTTCAGTAAATGTACTTAAATGTTTTAGTATTGTGATACATCTCTAAACAAAGTCTTTATTCAGAATAAAGACTTGTCAGGTATGTAAGCTTTTTTACATATCCAATGAAACCTTATAGACACATTTACTGGTTCATAAAATGATGCCTTTACTGGCAAAACCATGGTCGTGAATAAAAAATGCATTTGTGAAATGTGCAGTTGTCTCGTATTTCCTCAATTCTGTAATTATGGAGTTTCACCAAGTACCAATGGTTTCAAATATCAATTATAATAAATAATTATTTATAAATACTTACAATGAAGATATTAAGCATAAATGGAACTAGAATTTTCACCCAAAATAAAGCCATGATTAATAGTGATGTGATCAAGGTTAGCGTTAGCTATTTAGTTTAGAATACAAAAGAGTGAAATTTAAAATAATAGTGATTATCAAACTATTTTCTCAAGAGCTAATAGACAACAACAACAGATAGTGATATAATCCAATAAATGCTAACAAACACTGAGGCAAGTTCTACCTTTAAAAGAAATTACCACAAATATTTATGAAATCATACAAGTCAAACAAAAGGATGGATATGACTTCAGTAAACCATACCATTCAGCAACTGAAGCTAATCTAAACTTACAATACAGATCTATAATAGTTTAACCCATTAACTGCCGATTCACCTTATAGGGTATGGTCTGCCTCCGGCAGTTGAATGCAAATGTGCTGTATACAGTGTACAGCTTGCAAAACTTCCATGAGCATTTAAAGCAGCTGCAGTCAGAGACAAGTCAACTACAATGGAACAATATAATATCTATATGAATATTAGTTTGACACTTCATGTATCCTCTTCAGTCCTGTGTAGTGGTGAAACTAGTACCCACATAAATTTGGTATCGTTTCATAACTTTGGATTTAAACTATATCTTAGGTTACTTTACATAGTATTCTGGTTTATCTACCATTATTACAACACAGATCTTCTACCCTGTAACCCAGACAATCAAAACCAAGCATTTACAAATTAATCTTGCCCCATCACCTACATGTCAGTACTGCTACTTGAAGAGACAGATTGTCATCTATACATACTTGGTTATAGGCAAGAAATTCAATATTTTAGAAATGGCTGCATGTAAGATTGATAACAAATAAAACCAAACAATGGATAAGATTTTAAATTTTCAATCTCAACTTTTATCTGTGATTCTACAGCAATAAGAAACCAAATTAAAGACTAATATCAAGCTTAAATATCAAATGAATAACTTAGTACATAGTTGATGAAAGAGTTTATGCAAAAGTCCTTGGACTGAAATTACAAAATTAAAATACTTTACAAAGAGGAAATTTTAAAAATAATTTTGAGTTACATAAAAAACTGATGCTAGTATATCATTTTAAAAATACTTAAATACCTTCTGCTTCCATACAGTAATTATTTCCATTTATCTTGAATAAATTAAGGTTAAAAAATAACGTACACTAAGTAGTTTCTCACAATAATATAGATGTTAAATCAATGGAAAATGTATACTAGAAATACAACAGGAATACTTTTATTTAATGATCAATTTACATCCTGCACAAAAAAGGCCATAAGTCAGTATTTATAGTTTTGTACTTGGGATTATTAACTCTTTCACTGCCATGGGCACATACATGTTTGTCTCTTAAGTACTGTCCTGTGATTTTCAATATTTATACCCCCATGAAGAAAGGATATTGTCTTTCAAACCTTACCAATTTCTAGTTTCAGATATGTAGTAAAACATTTCTAAAAAGATTATAATTTTATTGTGTATCTAAAAATAAACGTGGCTGTGAAAATATTAAATAAAATGTTACAACTATCAAGGAAAGTGAAAACTGCAAATGTTTCAGTAATTTGTGAAGGTTGCAGAGCACTGCTTGGTAATAAATTTAAATTTTATTGCATCATAAGAGATCAACAAGATGAGCTACAGAAATATTCAAATTATAGCAAGGTATGAAACTACTTCACATACTTGTAGTACCATTATCACAACAGGTTTTTCTCAATAATTATCATTCTCAGTCTTCTTGTTTGTTTCTTGGAGTTTTGCCTGTATTAAGTGTGCAGATAATAAGTTATAAAGTAAATATTACTTAAACCACTAAATGTTTTATAAGCATTAAAAAAGAAGTATTAAAGTTTCAAACTAAACCTAATATCAACAAGCACAAATGTAAAAGCTACACAGGCCATAATGCAATGTTAAGAGACAGAATGAATTCATGTGGAAGAAAGAGCACTTCTCTAATACAGAATATTTACTAGTGTTTTATCAAGTCATATGCATTTTAACAAAATATGTACAGACTTTTGCCAACAAAAACATTTATCAACTTTAATCCACATAATAAAGAAGGTAAGCTTAGAAGACTAAGGAAGAGACTTGCTTTAGAAGTTGTACTTATCTCACTGTTCTCAAGTGTGAAAAGACAATATAAAATTCTTACTTGGCTAATATTTCCATTCTGTTCACCAATTAAATAAGAAGGTAAATAATGACTCCCTGAAGATGGACTATTTGGTGGAGAGCCTAAGGTCATTGGTTCAGCCATGGTGCTAGAAACTGGTACAAGAGAAGAGTATTGAGAACATATTAGTTTTAAAACAATGACTTACTGCAAATTCTAAAAACACATGTGCTTTTATAGATTAATCCACAATGAAATAATTATTACAAACGAGAAGGGCCATCTATTTCAACCTTTCATAATTGGGTAGGTCTTTTACTTTATAGATTACATTAAACTGTTTCACCTCCATTTATTTGACAACTATTGATTTTATTTCACATAATTTACAATAATTAAAAACTCTGACATAAAATGAAGAAAATGAATAGTAAAGAAATATCTAATTGCATTTGGAGACCAGGAGCTTTTTTTATGTCCTACATTCAGTGATATTTGTTTAAGATAATCTGAATATTTCCTAGATGTTTTACTATTACTGATACTGGTGATAATGTTATAATTGAAAATATGGTTCATAGTTCTTCTCATAATTCATGGCTTGTGCACATTTTCCTGACATCCTGACAGTACAAATTAATGTTAAGCGTTTCTTGTGTGACATCATTTTACAGCCTCCTGACAGATAACTCACTGCTGTGTAGTGGGAAATAACACTGATCTGGGTACTAAATTAAATTCTCAGTAGATACTTCCCTAAACTCTAAATCATTGAATTATAATGTTTAGTGATTATGGTAAGGGACTGCAAAATATTGTGATGACTATGATCTTCATTGAATATTATTTTTGTTTATTCTATTCAAATATTGTATACAGAAAAAAATTGGTAATTGGCTGCTTTATTTCTAATTGCAAGTCTGTAGGCTACAATACGTGATGACATATGAAGTTCAAAGGCAAGAAATAAAAATATTTGTTACTCTTAATTTTGGTTTTATTTACTCTTGAAACACACCACTTTCAGGGACCCTGTGTATATACGTCTAGTCTTATAATTTAACTTACACGATTGATTAGCCATTGAATTGTACAAGTAAGCTTATTTGTGCATTAGTCATAGTATTATTATCAAGGTATTTCTATTTAAATGTTATTTGTAAAGTTAAGAGTTAGAGCTACAACAGTGTACAAGTGAACAAAGCCAAGAGAAATGTCAGAGTGGAAGCAAATTCATCATCACATATATATTGAACTTTGAATTATTTTCACCACAATTTAGAAGAAACCATGTTGAAAAATGGACATATTAAACAATATGAGAGAGCTCATGGGTATTCAATTTTCTTGAGATAAGTTAATAAAGGGCATAAACAAGCTCAAAACTAATTTTAAAAAACATACTAAAACTTCCAGGTAGTTATAAAAAGCTTTTTATTTTTAGTTTTAACTTTTGTTCTGAGGTAAATCTATGAGTATGACCCAAATTTCATGAAGCTGAGAAAAACAAATAAATAATATTAAGCACAGACATTATAATAATGCTGACAATGAAAGCAGGTTTCTTGTACAGCACATCTATTGATCTAAATTCGATATAAAATAATTTCTAACTTAGTAGCTAGTCTTATTCTTCCTTTTAGTTTTACTCTTCTTGCTCTTAGTATTACTATTAGTTCTAACACTAACAGTAACATTATACTTTGCGAGACATTATTTCACGTTTACTGATTTAGACAATGGGCGTTTCACATACCCAAACATCATTGCCTAAAAATTATGTATTTTATTCTAGTTATGGGTTTATACGTTATAGCTGCAAACACTTCTAGTTCTAATTATAAAATAATTCAATTTCTATTAATATTATGCTAAGCCTAACTGTGTAGCATAGTCAATATGCTGAAGTCTGCCTGGTTTCTATGAAATATTACTATCGTTTATTTTTAAATGTTCACTCCAGAAAGTTACTCTTAAAAAGCAATTAGAACTACTAATTGTTAAAGTTAAAAATAATCTAAAACTTCTCACAAAATTCCCAGAATATTCACACTTTATGAATCAGAACCACATACCTTCGCCAACCTTCTCGCGGTTTCAGTTCAAATAACACGTCATTCTTCCCTCTGTTGGTGAAATAATTCGTCGTACTAACCTTTAAATTTGAAAGATTAGTTGATACTAATCCACTTAAAAACGAAATATTTATTTAGAATACGTTTAATTTTGCTTCAATTGAGCTTGCTCCGGCAACTAAAATAATTTTCGATCTGTAAATAGATACTTTAAAATATATAAATTGGAAGCCAATTGCCACATAATATACGAACAATAAGCGACCACATGATTCTTCAATGTCGTCCTTTCAAACCCATTATTGAGATAAAGTAAAACTTAAGTCCATGGGCGTCCGCAGAGGGGGCAAGTGCCTCCTTGCCCCCCCCCAAATAAGAAACAATTTTTCTTAATTCATTCAGCATATGTATATGCATTTTTTATTCACTTCACAATCTCACACTACTGCCCCCTTGAAATATTTCTGCGGACGTACATGCTTAAGTCCACCTTTTATTTTTCAGCAGATTATAAATTTTCCTTTTCCAATCAGTCATGCTGTTCTAACTAGTTCTAACTGTGCTATGGTTCTCGTTGTTCTATATTCCTCGCTTTTTGCCTATCTGAATCTCTCCTAATCTTCCATCAGTTCCATTTATACACCAAGTAACATATCTTTCGTCTCCTACAAGAAGAGAGACAACAGCAGTTGCAAGAAAACCTGGAACAGTGGCAGCTCGAACAGCAAAATAAACAAGAAGATAGATTACAGCAGTTGTTGGAGGAAAAAGAAAAGAAGCAAGAAGAGAGATTACAACAGTTGTTGGAGGAAAAAGAAAAGAAACAAGAAGAGAGACAACGGCAGTGTCAAGAAAACCTGCAATAGTGGCAGCTGGAACAGCAAAATAAACAAGAGAGACTACAGCAGTTGTTGGAGGAAAAAGAAAAAAGACAAGAAGAGAGACTACAGCAGTGGTTGGAGGGGAAAGAAAATAAACAAGAAGAGAGACTACAGCAGTGGTTGGAGGAGAAAGAAAATGAACAAGAAGAGAGACTACAGCAGTGGATGAAGGAGAAAGAAAATAAACAAGAAGAAAGTATCCAACATTTGAGAGAAAGTCAGAGTACACAAATGGAAAACATTAGTAAATTTCAAAGCAAGTTAAATGCATTAAAGGATGATTTATTGTATTTTACACAAGGAGGATACATTAACCATCGACCTAATCAGCCCAGACAATGGCAAGCCCCTTCCAGAC